AAATGAATATAAGAAAATAATAATAATAATAAAAATAATAAGAAAAAAATATTGTATAATATTATATTTTACAAAACATATATATATATATATGAAATTTTATATTCTAAACAATTTATACATAATTTTAAATATACTATATTTTATTGTTAGGCTATATATAATCTCCTTTCTCATTATATTAATATCATTATAATATCATTATATTATATGATCAATAATATATTATAACAATATTTTATAATATACTGTACATTACGCTGTAACTTTTTTAAAACAGTATTTACTTTGGAAACACTCTGAAATAAGTAAAAAACACCTAAAATAAGAATGAAGATTAATTTCACTGAACTGCCTGTTTTGATCCCTACATGTTAAATATATTAAGTATTTGTCCCAAAACGCTCTGTACTATAATAGCTCATCAAAACAAACTGTGTATACTTAATAAAAGTCGTGTTGCTCATCTGATAGGGTGGCACGAGGCATCAGCTGAGCTGAGAGGAGGATGCTGCTGCTGCCACTCTGCTAGTCGCACACACTTCAGACGTCAACACACCGAAAGAGGGTAGATTTACTCATTTAATCCATTGAATATGGCATAGATATGACAAGTATAGTGTTCCAACATGTTTTTAGCTGTTTTGGGATGTCTCTGGATGCTTATTTCGTCGGTTTGTCGTCGATTTTAGCACAACGGCGCCGCGAGCGCAAAGCTAACTCTGAAACTGATAGGCGGAGAAGTTCAACAGCTAAACTGTATTTACTGTAAAAAACAAACAAACAAAAAAAAGCAATATCTGCATGTATATGCGCTCAGTTTAATTTTCTGTACATAAAAATTGTATTGATAGGCTTAAAGTGAATTGTTTTGATATGTTTAGGTAGTGAGTTTATTGGAGAATGGCGTTTGTGAAGAGCGGATGGCTGGTCAGCCTGATGAATACCAAAACACTCCCAATACAAACAAGTGTCATTTGACACTTTCAGGGTTCCCTTCTTGCACTTTCCATAATGTCTCCAGATCTCATTCTTTGTATGTGTTCATAAGATTACACCCAACTAGATTAGGGATGCACGATAATATCAGAGCGTTATCGGAATCGGCCGATAAATGCTGAAAATGTAAACATCGGCATCAGCCAATTTTAATTTCCCGATAATTGTTTGCATTTGCCGATAATCATTTGCATTTGCCGATAAATTATGCCGATATGCCTTGCCGATATGACGAATAACTCACATGTGCCCAGAGTGTGATAGAGGTAAGATCTCGTCAGCAGTGTGTTCATTCTGTAAGCAAACTTTTGCTTGAATGATGATTAGTTTCGTCGGTTTGTCGTCGATTTTAGCACAACGGCGCCGCGAGCGCAAAGCTAACTCTGAAACTGATAGGCGGAGAAGTTCAACAGCTAAACTGTATTTACTGTAAAAAACAAACAAACAAAAAAAAGCAATATCTGCATGTATATGCGCTCAGTTTAATTTTCTGTACATAAAAATTGTATTGATAGGCTTAAAGTGAATTGTTTTGATATGTTTAGGAGGTAGTGAGTTTATTGGAGAATGGCGTTTGTGAAGAGCGGATGGCTGCACAGACAAAGTGAGTGTTTATTACTCCATATTTATGACCTTAAAATCCTTCGTTTTAGTTATTTTGGGCTTTTCGATGTCGATTTTAAGCATTTTATGGCGATTTTCTAATTCACATGAAAGTTTAAACAGCACTTTTATCATTTAAAGCCTCTGAAATATACATCAAGTATGCGAAATATTTAGCTTGGAGGTTGAATTGAAAAGCTTTTCAGTTTTGCTTTGTTTTCATTCATTACAGCAGACACTGTCCTTTCATCTACTTGTTAAGTTATCTTGTCATGATTTTTTAAACGGAAGTTGAAATTCAGCTGAACTTTGTGTCTCAAAACCTAATGAGCTGACTATCTGGCTGTATAGTGTTTTAAAGCTCTTTTTAGATGATGACTTCATTTTTTCTGTTTGCTTAAACTTGTTTAAACTATAGAGGTCAGATTACTGTACATTTACAAGCTATTTTATTTTATTTTTTTAGAATTGAATTTATAATACATTTGTAATATGAAGAATATAAATAAAGTTGATACATTTTATAATGCAATTATTTTATAATATAATTTTTATTATTTTAATTATAAAAAAGTAATTAAAGCATGGCTGATATTAAACTTTGTATAAATAAATTACTATTAAAATAATTATATATTATAATTTTAATACATTTCTTATATATATATATATATATATATATA